TATTTATATATTTACTAGTTTGCTAATATTTATATTAAAAATTATTTAAAAAGATAAACATTTTGTAAAAATCGCTTTGACTCTATTTTTCTATTTTTGCCCACTTTGTGTCTTAAAGTGCACACGAGTTTATTTTGACATGTTTTTACATACTCTTTTTTTCTTTTCTAGGACAGCTGGAAAAGACGATGAAAAGAACGATGAGGTTCATGAGGAATCAAAATTTTTATTGTACATTATTTTTTCACTATATTGTTTTTAATGGTCCCTTATCGTAAGGAAAGACAACCAGACGCTGCTAAACCTAGCAAGCTATCACAAGAGTGTTTACCAACGACAAAACTCGTTGGGTCTAAACTTCTGGCTGGCCACGTCTTAGGGTCATCAGTATCCCACTGGGAGGGTGGTGATCTGTAGCAGTAAACAAATCCCCAAAATAGATAGCTCTGTAAGTTTTCGCCATTGGATGCTGACCACATTAGTTTTAATGGACTCACCTAACTGAAGGCGCTTGGTCATGCATCCGCACCAGATCACGAGTGAGAAAGCCGTGCTCAAAAAACCCTGCAATTGCTAGCCAGATTGGATCAGACGATCTTCGATGTATTGATAGCCTATCAAATATATCTTCGAACCTCCTCGCTTCTGTATTTTGATTTCACTTGATGGGTACGTTTCATATTAGATGGTGTTACTGGTTAAAGCGTTGTCAAACTCCGAATACCTTTGGCATCTTCACTGTTCTTTCGGAGAGGGTAACTTAATCCAAGTCGTCACATACTAATAAATATCAGATGCATATTGTAAATAATCTTATATTATATATGTTATATATATGTTATGTATATATAAACATTAGTTACACGTTGCATGTCAATTTGTAGGTAGCATAACATTTTTACATCTCTTATTACCTTGAGCTGTTTTTCTCATTTAGGATGTGTAATTATGCCAAAACACGCTCTGTAAGATCATGAAAACAAGACGTTGGTGCATAAATGGACGATCGTCGAATTGGAAGTGAACTGTACAGTACAAAAACATACTGCAAACGTCATACTGTCTATAAAACAAACAGAATTTTGCGTTTATTTAAGTGGTTATCACTACTGTTCTTCAAGCAGCTGCTCAAATGAGCTTTATTTTAGGGATATTTTATATCGAAAGTACGAGGTAAGACGTACTTCGGGGTCATGTTATGGGTGTGTTACGATAACGTGTTCAAAGTTGATAGATGTGACATTTCGATTTTTGTTTCTTTAAATTCGGTTATTCTTGTCAATTTGACAGGATCATTGCTGGGATGTATTACGGAGCCGTAATAACTAAAGTTGATACTAATATCATTACGGTTCCTGGAAAAACAGGTACAACAGTTTAGGAATAGTGTTTCTGACGTCATGCAAACATAATATCCTTGGAATCTTCAAGATTATTGTCGACACTTGCCTTGAACTCATCGAGTTTGTTAGTATCTCAAAGGAATTGTATATCAAAATTCTCGGTTATGTTTGTCACGTTGTTTAGGGCTTCTTTTAGCTTCAAATTCAGTTTGGCCCCATCAGGGGGTGATATTATTATTATTATTATTAATGGCTTTATTCAATATTATCTTTTTGGGACAATATAGAATTCTCAACACAGAAGCCACTTCAGTCACTTTATTTGATTTTGTGTCTTCCTTGAATATTTCGAACATCTTATTAACGTCGTTGTGGTCGATTTAGTTCTCTGTGATATGGTCCAGAGAAACACATGAAGCTTCGTGTGTGCTTGTACTATGTTTGTAACTGAAAGTGAAGCTTTCAACTGTCAGTGAGATGACCTAAATACAAATGGTTCTGTGAGCCTTCAACACCGATGCTGACTGCATTAGCTATATTGTACACAACCTAACTGAGTACACTTGGTGACGTATATGAACCAGATCACGACGGGGTATGCCTTTTTACGTATTCCTTTCCACTACTAGTCAGCTTAGGTCAAACATATCGGTAAATTTCCAAACATCGCAATCATTTATCCTCGACTAGGTTTGGGGAATTTCAAATATAAAGATGTCAAGGACATAGACGTCGTTGGACTTCGAATATCTGTGGCATCTTGGCACAGCCCGTAGTAATGATTGGAGGGCAGCCGAAGTTCACCGTTACTCATTTGGAGAGTTGGCGAGTAACTGTTTTAGCAGTAACGTTCGTGACGAGCTCTGCTTTTGGTCTTTGTGTGAAACGGTTTACACATGTCGAGAGATATGACCATTTGTTTGATTCCGGTAGAAAGTTCATCAAATCAAGATGGACGCGTCTAGAAACAGGGTCCGGAGTTTTGAAATCAACCACGTCATCCTAGATTTTCTGACAGCTTGAACAGGGGTTCGTCCACACATTCGAATGCCCGTCCATTCAAGGTCAGCAAATTCGTGTTGTCACAAGCTTGGCCGCTGCTTGAATAACCGGATGAGAAAGTTTGTGCAACTTATTGAGGATACTACGTCACGTAAAAAAGCTTTACTATATGTTCCATTTGTCTAATTCATATTTTTAGGATTGTTGAGGATAACTCATGTTGAATCTCATTGTCTTCTTTCTGAAGGCTTGGGGGCATAGGACAGTTGATTTCTCGGTAACTTTACGATTTTATACGTTAAAAGACATCTGCAGCTACGTTTTTTCCACAAATGTGTTGTATGTCTGAAGTAAGCTGCGAAATATAGTCCAGTTATCGAGACTCTCGAGGTGAGCATGTGTCTGCAGATGATCTTAAAGAGAGGTTAAGAGGTTTGTGACCGATGAAAAGAGTGAATTCTTCGTTCTTAACAAAGTGTTTAAAGTAACGTACACCACAATAAATGACCAGGAGTTCCCTATCAGAAGTACCATGCATCCACACAGTGTCTAGCAACGATTTTGAGAAAAATGCAATCGGCTGACAGGTGTGATTAACCCATTGGTTCGTGACTCCACCAATTTCAGAGTCGGGTGCGTCTACTGCAAGCATGGTTGCATTAGCGATAAATTCCTTAATCGTATAGAATGCTTTTCTCGCGGTATCGTCCAAATTGATGGAATTCGCATTTGCTCGGTTAGAGTTTTCATAAGAGACACGCAGTTTGGTATGAACCGTCTAAAGAAAACTTACTAATTCGTTAAACGTTCGTGGTTGCTTGATTGTGCTCGGTTCTGTGTAATACAGAATGGCCGACACTTCGCTTTTTAGAGATCAGATGCTCAGAGCATCAATAGTCTGTGCAAAGTCGAGAGAGTCGGGTTCGATTTGCCGTTTCTGGGTGTGTTACAGTATTGCCATGCCTTTGTAGCCGTTCGAAGACAAGTTCCAGATGGTAAAGATGAGATTCACCCTCCGCAGTCGTCAACACACACATGTACCAAATTGAGATCTCAAAAGGCGTCATCGATTAACCTTTGGAATATTCGTGCAGAAATTCTTAAGACGAAAGGCATGCAGAAATGCTCGTGGAAATCAATTGCGGTTTTAGGAATGTCGTCATCAACAATGGCAGTTTAGTTATATGTTCTAAACAAATCGATTTTCGAAAAAAAACAGCTGTACTTTTCATGGTAGTTGTCAAATCGTGTATTTGAGACAACGGGTGACGTTTAAGAATTGTTTTCGCATTCAAAAGATAGAGTTAAGTAAATTATTAATTTTGGCATATCTTAGGCTATTGGAAATTCGATATATATATATATATATATATATATATATATATAAACAACAGAAAAATGACTACACAGAAGAATGAGGATGATTGAGTCATAAAGTGATGATGCGCTAACAAATGATTGTCCACTGTAAATAATGTAAATTTAGAATGAATACATTGGGATAATTTTATTCATTTCTAAGCTTTTGTAAAACATGAAACGCTCTTTATAACATGTATTCGAATGAGAACTACTACGCCCACAAATAATCCTCCATAGTCTTGTAGCGGTAAATAAATCCCTAAAATAAATAGCTCTGTAGGTTTTCGACATTGGATGCTGACCATATGTTTTATTGGACTCATCTAGCTGAAGGCGCTCGGTCAGGCATCCGCACCAGATCACGTGTGGTAACGCCGTGCTCAACATCAACCGCAATCGCTAGCCAGATTAGATCAGAGAATTCCGATATATTGGTCATCGCCAAATATACTCTTCCGATCTCCTCGACTCTGTCTTTTGATTTCTCTGGGCGGAAACGAATTATATTAGAAGGTGTTACTAGTAGAAGCGTTGTCAAACACTGAATACCTGTGACATCATCAGTCTTGACATAAATGTGTTTTTCATGCTTCTAGATAGTATCGTTGATCGAACCCTCTATATCACACTTAAACCTGTCTGTTATTTGTCATCCTACAAGCTTTCAAAAATCAGTCAAGTTTTTATGGATTTAAGATGATGGTGGTCATAGTGTTGACAAGTGGAACCTTCAGTAACTTATTATCGTGCAGAATCCACTTGCTGAATAAGAGATGTATGATCTCTAAAAATTAAATGTTACAAATTTCTCTATTATGAATATCTCTGTTTTAATGAAGGCATAGTCAATTATGTTCATCAGTAGGTAGTTCCAACTACAATTTCTCCTTAGGAAAAGCTCGGTTTTGTAATACTTGCGCACATCTTACTTACAACATTCACTGAGTTCAGAAATATAGAGCTTCATATGGACGTCAGTTGAGTATGATAATTTTGGAATCATACCGTAAATTCAGAACGGCAACTTATTCTATTTATCCAAAGCATTCAGAAGAATAACTGCTTATACAGTAGTAAAATATATGCGTCAAAAACATTTTAGGTTGATTGTCTCCAATTTCGTAAACATGGATCGATGTTGTTATAATCTATCGAACTTTTGTTTACTAGGTCGTCGTTATTTACGTACTGCATATAAAAGTTTTCTCTTTTGTCGCTTAATGGTCACATTCAAATGAAGTGTTTAAGACAAGGTTACGTACTGTGAATAAGGATAAATAATATATTCGTTGTATGGGTTCTTCAACATCAAAGCATCCCTTCAATGCGTAGGTATAGTATTTGGGAGTACATAATCTACTGAAAAACCTATTGTAGGAAATTTTTTTCAGAAACGTTTCTCGCTGACATAGGTTGTGACGAGTAAGTTGAAAATTTTACTTTATCATCTTTCTATAGTAAAGGTACCGTTTTGTGCAAGGATGAGAGTTTGCCATGTCTAAATGGTGGAGTTTGCGCACTTTATATATCCGAAATCGATGACAAGTGCATTAAACGCTGCAAGTAAGTGTTAATTAATTACTTGTGACTGTTTGAAAAGTTTTGTGATCTTTTTTTTTCAACTCACTGATATGAGATTTTTAAAATCCTATTCCACCTTATATTCAAGTCTGTGCAAATAATTTTTACTATTATCAGAGACCACAATTCTGAAAAACGTTTCTGGAGAGAGGTTTTTAATCATATTCGGTTAAACTTGTTTCTTACAAGATATATTTTAAATGGTTTAATCACTGGGAGGTGATCGCCGTATAAAAGAAGCTTCACATATTTCAATTTTTTCGCATCCAGTAAGAAAATATAAAATGAAGTATAATTAGACTAAAACTGATGTCTTTGGAGTATGTAGAGGAAAAGATTTTATTTTTAGTCGTTAAACTCAATGAAGTCGTTGGGTACAAACAGAGTGACTTCAAACTTTAAGTTCTTCTTACATGTAATATATATTATTACTCAATTCTTTTTAACGTCCACAGTAATATGAATTTTATGTCATTTTGTTTGCTAAATCTGCAAACAATTTCGTTGTTTCTAGCAGTTTATAATGATAATGTTTGCAGTTCATATTAAGAGTTTTATTTTGAAAATCTCACCTTTACATTTATAAAGGCAAGGCCTATATGTTGAATCAATCTACTGATATACAATCAAGCAATTAAAACAAAACTAGGATGACTCATTCATCTTGTTCGGCTTTATATCACACGAAATCTGACAAATTTTTTTTCAGTGAAGGAATAGCTCTCTGCTTCTTTGATATGTGTTGTAAGAGTGAATCTGACAAATGGTTAGTAAACGATTTGAAGAGGGTAACGAACATGTTTGACTGAAACCTCTACAGCCAAATAAGTGACTGAGTTGAAATAATTTAATGCAGCCTAGTTTTATATGAAAAAAGCGCCGCAGATGATTAATAAAATGATTATACTTGCCAACATTTCGGCATAACGCAGAAATCATAACCAAGTTATTTCATATGAAGCTTCGGATTATTGTTCAAAAATTTAGGCTTAAATTATGTTTACACGTATTTTGGCATCCTTATCCATTTTGACCACTAATTTAATTCAAGGAAAATTGTGAAGCGATATGTCAATACGTCTTAAAGCTCATATTGCTTTTAAGCTAATATTGTATTACTTTGGAAATGTCAAGTTTTTGTTTGTGTAGTTGCCTCTAATTTTATGTTCTATGTCCTCTTAATCCGTTTGACAGGTTGGCTTTTAATCGGAGTTAGAAACTAAAATAACATTCATCCAAAAAGTTTTAACAGTGAATGTACACAGAAAGTTTTACTTTTGGTCTATTTAAATTTCTAAATTATTATGACAAATTCCGTTCAACATCATGTAGTATGCAGCATCAAATTTTATACCTACCACCTTTTAGAGTCAAGAGAAGAAAGTAGTTAGTGACTGCAGTCTTAATCCTTACCTGTATGCACCATTTTGATTTTCAGGCAGTGTTACCTGTGTAAGATGAATGGTGATACACTCGATTGAGAAATAGTTTATGGAATCAAAATATCGAACTCCTTTGAACATTCCTATTTAATACTACTGCTAAATGAACTATTCGCCATCTGCTGATGATATATCAACAACTGATATCACAGAGAATTTTGATTAATTTGGTACATTCAACCCAGGTGACTTACAGATTTATGTGTTGTTAAGCTATGTTGGCATTATAAAAATAAATCGTTGACATCTACAATAGGAAACATGATACATGTTTAGTAGTTGATAATTTTATGGAATCAGCACCAAATTACCAGCACGTTTTGATAGAAAAACTGATTTGAGCCTTGAATGTTTGAAAATAGTGACTTTCTATGTGGAAAGTTGAGTATTAAGAGGACATATATTTTCTATGGACAGAAATAAGTTACGTAAATGTGGTTGATCATGGCAAAAAATTTATTTCCCCACAGTTATTAAAAAATTATGACTGATATTATTTTGCCTATCAAATCTTTGATAACCATGAGCAAACGGATTGAAATACATAATGTATAAATATACAGTGACTTATAGAAACCAAAGTATTTAATTGATCACGGGATATATTTGTCTATCTAGTGTTTACAGATGAGTGAGAATGAAAACAGTATTAATCAGACTGAACTCCGAGTCAAATATTTTACGCTTTTATTCCTGAATCATTCGAATAATTTTTGTGGTAACTATTGTAAATTAAAAAATCCGTATCACGAGTAGTTTATTGATGGATCCAATTCACCCCAATATTAATTTACTTTGTCTTCATAACAAATACACAGCGAACATGTTCAAAACAATTCATTTCTGTATATGGGATATTATCTACTGACAACTCATCTTACTTGAACTAATCATTGAGAAACTACTGGGAGATACTAGGCATACCGAAAGTATGACTTACTGGAACAGTGGTTCATAAAAGTTCGATTGTGTCATTAGATTATGTTCCTTAATTCTCTTGGCACTCAAGAAAAATATCAACAAAAACTGTCCAGTTTCACAGGCTTTCGATTTTTGTATGGCAGTGTAGCCTTAAAGAACTTTTTATGAAAATAATTACATTGCATTGACTGCAGCAGTACTGAATTTAGAAGGCCTTGTTCGAAATATAAAAAGATTACTTACTTAAAATATAATGGAAACAAAGTGAAAGCATTTGATGAATTAAATTAACACAAAATATAGTGCTTATGTTACAAAAGCGATCAACAACTATTGTTCCAACGTTAAGATAAGACAGCTAGCCAGTTGATACATATTTTGATAACGTTTCAGGTAGAACCAACTCATGATCCAAAATTTTAGGCTTAAGTTTTATTTACTGTGAATGGTCAAAAACATTAATCAAATTTCGTAAGTTTCACTAATTTGCTAGGTGTTTGCGACCACTTGCATTACAAATAGTGAATTTTGGTTTCAAGTTACGACAAAAATAAGTACGTTCAGGAAACGGAAAATATTCCTAGGTTTGAGTTGACTTTGACCTTCAGAAAAGTAACCACGGATAACGAAGCAAATTAAGTGCTCATCGTTCCCTAACATTGAAACCAGCTCTATGAATATGATGAAAAATGAACTTTGGATTTGAACAAATAATTCTGGTCTACTTTTACTCACCAAAGAAATCTAATGACTTAAAGTCAAAAATCAGTAGGGATGAAATGTTTATTAGATCATAGATATCAGTGAATGATTCATATAGAATAGGTGGATAATTCTGTGCAAACAATCGACAAAAATAGGCCAAAGTGATAGGGATTATGTTGGTCAGAAAGCATTTTCAAGTGAAATAAATAACAAAAAATAACCTCCTTCTTACTTAAACTCTTATCTTACTAGATTTCATTAGAAAGACAAAATGATGTGTGTATCAATAATGGTTATTATTTTCATCTCTCAATCATCTATGCTGTTATATATGCTATACATGTATGGAAACTCACAGGAGTACATTGAAAAACTGGTAGGTTAAAATGATTCTTGACAGTAGAAGCTAATTTAGGAGGATAGCGGGGAATCCAGTGAAAGTAATAAAGTAAATGTTTTTACAAAATATCTAGAACACAAGATTTAAATGTAAAAACGGTTAAATAAGTAAAAACAATTTACTTATAATCGAAGGGATAAGTGATTATATTGATTAGAAATTATACGTTTACATATGTATTCATAGGTCAATAACTGTTATTAGTTTCATGTTTAGTGAATTATTCATAGTTTATCAAGTATATCAGATATGCTGTATTACAATTTTAAGCATCATGTGAACTCACTACCATACACCATGTGAATATTGAAAAAAGAACTGGTAATTTTGTCGACGTAAATTAGACATGAATAACTGGAGAAAACAACTAGAAACTTATCAGATTGACCAAAAGCGAATTAAACTCTACGAATCCCATGACCGGGCAGTATAGTAAAGACTATATCTTTTAAATAACATCTATGAACTACTAAACATTGGATGATTTCCATATGTGTGTTCTCGAGAAAACGATCTTTTAGTACGCAAAGGATTTTTTAGTCACAGGATTGGTTGAACTTATGATAATAGTTAGAAATATTTCTGTTTACTCCCGAGTTACGTCATCTACTCAGAACTAATCTATAAACTTATATTTGTATGTAGTTTTGAATTTATGGACGGATGGGGGCTTATATGATATTGCGTCGTTTATTTTGGTCATAATGCTTGGATTGCCATTTTGAATCAAGTCATTTATGCTAAAGAAAGAAAAGTGTTTACGCAAGCCGATATCTAAGTCGAAATAGCTACAACAAAAAATGATCAGTTTATGATTAAAAGGTATAACAAAAGGTATAAACTCTGGACAATTATAATAGTACTTAGTTTGTTGCATTTTAAACATGTTTGTCTAGGATATAAAGAATCTAAACTGTAGGCCTTTATCTGTCACTTTACTTTATCGTTATAAAATGTTTCTCGGGACAAGTTGGTCAAAATGTTATCTTAGGTAGAATTATTATTTTTCTGATGATCACAATTTTTTTTTATCCTGTACCTAAAAAGATATCGCCAAAAAATTAAGAATTTGTATTATAATAAATCATTCATACGCTTTCATTCCACTATGCGAAAATGAATATACAATGAGCAAGCTGTAAAATATATATATTTATCTTGAAGTAATACACTAGCTATTTAATAGAATGTAAAGTTTATTTCTTCTTCATCCAAGCAAACTGAGAATCAGTAGTTATTATACTCATATGATGACTGATAAATGTGAAAATTACAATAGGATTCATAGGAGAATTTATATTAACCAATTATCTTTTTCAGATTAGTTTCTACTTGGCAGACTTTGTTTATTAATAATTAATGGTATAACCTAGTGTAATTTAAGTTTTTTGACTAAAGTGCCTTCAGATCATCTAAGTATATATGCATATATCCATATAGATCATTCCGATTTTACAAAACCTCTGTTACAATAAATTTCGAATAAACATAAATGATATTTTTATTAGTTTAGA